TCATTAATAAGAAAATATCGGTAATTAATTGAATAAATAGAGCAATGATTAGGAAGTTGTTTCTTTTTCGAATGCATTCTCAATCTACTTGGTAATGCATCGCAATTCAGCAAATCTCCTTTTACAGGTATTCGATTCGACTTACCCTATACAATGATACCCGAAACAGGTCTTTTGAGTCAACGATGCGATGAATACAGCGGTATCGTTGAGCGAGATGGACGTCAGTATTGGTGAGTGTGCATCATTGTTCAGTTACTTCATATGTAAGGTCGCATTTAAGATAAATCCACAATTTATCAACTGTGTTTCAGAAAATCATTCCAAAAACACTTTCGCGAGAGTTTTGCTCACTATCTTCGACGGAAGGCTTATAATTGTTTCATTGCAGCAGATATTGTGATCTTTGCGAGCTATCGGAGAAGATTGAGAACGGTTTGAATCGAGAAAGTGGTCATGAGTTTCTGCCTGAAGTGGTGAAAGGTAATGAGGAGCGTTTTGCACCAAAGTGCTCGAAAATTACCACGGATACGTATCAGTTCAAACGAACGATCAGTCTGCCTGGACGACGAGAACTGACCGCGAAAGTTCGTGATCAAATGCAAGGACTCGATGGAGAGATTAAGAAACGACTCAATAAAGGGGTACCAATATGATATTTTCGGTTTCAATTAAATATTTCTTTTCCATCATGGTAGCAAAAATGGCGAAATGCCGGTTTTTCCACCAAGGTACTATCTTGAACAGTAAGAAATGCCGGATTCGAGAGATCCACTCGTTTGATTTAGCATTATCGTCGAGCACTGTAATGACTCCAAATTTTCGATCCAGAAATATTTTAATGTGGTGAATAAATCGTTCATTTTCACGTTATTTCAGCGCGGTCGCTTTCAAGTGTTCCTGAATTTGATCTCAGCGCAACAACCACCGCTCACACATGATCAGTGGTTTGATTCATCTTCACAGGTTCATCAATTTAACATTTCATTAATTTCTTTACTTGACTAAGTTCGTTCAGCAAAATATATCGGATTTGCTTTATTTTTTCAAGTGACTATGATATTGAGTATGTTTTTAGTGTCGTTGTTGTGGTAAACATCGTGATGAGTCGTGTCGAAGTGTACTGAGCTTCTTGTATTGTGACAAGGAGGACTGCAAGAGTGCATGGGCTCAAAAATGTCTGCATAATTCGGCACGTATTGTTGCTTGTTACACAGTGGAATTCAACTATCGTATGACGAATTCGTATGATGATGTGCTGCAATTCCTTCGTGAAAAAAATCTACCAAATCAAGACAACATCGCTAAATCGCTGTTGACAACGTGAGCGTGTTGAACTTCGTTGCAAATTTGCTTTTATTTTCTTCTTTCCATACGCTTCATTCACGGAATTCATCCGTTCTTCAAGAAATACCTCTTAACAGCAAATCCCATAGTTCAAATGAAGTTTTATTCAAGGCAATATTTCTTCCTTGACATTTCGGTGCTTTTGTACTGAGCTATTGTGAATAAATCAGGATTGTTTTCGGTTCCATTGTCAGCCCTATAAACCTTAAATAATACTACATAAGGAAACTAATGCTTAGATATCACTACCATTTGGCGACCTTCGGATGGCCTTTTCGAATGTTTTTAGTTTCCGGTTCATTCAAGTTGAGAAATACTCTCGCAGATGAAACTTTTCATTGAACACGATCTTCGTTCTATAATAACTGCTACCATTTTAAAGAATTCTTTTTACAGTACTGCACCAACGAAGTCGTTAGCAGGAGATGGATCGTTATCAGCCCGATGTGTTGCAGAAATGCCGACGCGTTTGGTGAATTTAAGGCGGTATTGTACGATATTTTGGAATCAGAGTTTGTGTTGTTCGCATTGCGAGGGTATTTGCTGAATGTGATTATTGCTGCTCTGTGCTATGTACATCAGCATTTAATGATCATCCAATTGGCTTGGTGATCTGTCCCTCGCATCTGTTTGGTGTCTTCTGATAGATGCCAATCTTCAAAGTTTAGCACAAGCTTGTCTCTGAAAGCATCAATTCGATTGCCTAATTCTATGAAACTAAGCTATTTATTGCGTCATCAGACGGTCAAATTATACGAGACTGCGTTAATTGTGAGTCGGCAATCGCAAAAATAGGCTTCATGCTTGTTCATACCCAGAGTTTTACTAGAAATATCACCTACGAATGTCTTTCCATGTTTTCACTTTTCGTTTTATGATATACTAACTACGTGTTTTTTATGATTATCAACTCATTCAGTGCTTTGCTTCCATTTGTTTGAATGAATTATATGTGTTATCGTTATATTCCTCCCGTCTTTCCTGATGCAGATCCGAAAACTGAGTTGATTCTGATCGAGTCTCCAAAATGACTTCAAACGATCAATGTCGCCTCCAAATCTGCCTCCGAATAAAATGGTTGAGTCTCTAAAAGAATTTCAGGCGATCATTACGGTCTCCAGAAAAGGCTGAAAAATGGAATTATACCAGGAATCCTAGCCAATATTGTTTCCCACTGCTACTGATTGTTTCTTCAGGTATTTTGTATCCTACAATGACTTTTGCTGCTTTCCAGATTTCTTCTTAGAAATGTAAATGATGATGAAAAATAGTTGACACCAACTACAGCTGATTGTTAAATTCGTAAAAAGACTGGTTGGTGAAAAATTCCTTTTACTGAAAAATATGCATGGTTGGAATGGTGACAATGACACTTGAAAATTTACTGCCGTACATACAAATAAAGAATAAAAAATAAAGAATCTATATGTATACATGCACACATCACATAAAACGCATTGAAAAGCATTTACTCACAATCAATCTCGATCAGATACTGTGAAAGCCGGAAACTGAAGGCAAAGAACAGGAGAGTTCCTAACATGCATGAATCTTCCTATGAAAGTCTCCGTTTTTGTGCCATCTGACCGTCTTTCATTTTAACTGAAGCACCTCAACGATTCCTTTGCTTACTTCACAACACATAAATAATAATCATAAACGGTAAACGTCGAAATTGCCCCATTCAATTATCTATATACAACGAAGAAACCAATGAAAAATGATCGCATAGCAATTGACCAATTTCTGAGGTAATAACTCGTATTTGGTGCAGCTCATGCTGAATATCGACCGTTGCAATTCGACCGTCTAAAACGACAGTTGGCGAATTCAATGAGTAGAAGCATAGTCGGCTCAGCCGCGTGGTGACAACGCAGTTGCATACCTTGAATTCTCGGTTAACTTTGCAATAATTATGATGACGGTGAACACAAATACGAACATCACTATGGTGGTTATAACTCGATGATTTTTCCCCTCTTCGCCATCGACGCCAATCGGTAACGATATCGATGGCGCTCGTCCGCGAGCTGTAAATTCATAATTTATCAAACATGATTGTTACACGGATCCTTTTGACGACCAATTGATTTGAAAATTCAATGTAAAATGATTTAGAATGGATTTCAGTCGATGCATCAGTCATAAGGTAACTGAAAAGATTGCTTGTGATTCCATCACTATTGCTTTCGAAAACTAATTGGAAGAGAGGTGGGCTTACTATTAGACACCTCGGATTGTCCTATCGCCTTTTGGTCATTACTAATATGCTCTATGTAAGAATATTTTTGTAAAATTTTAATTTGTAGGATTTACTAGATATTGAAGTTTGTGATCATTACTTGAGAATAGACATGTTGCATAGCGATTTTGCTCAGCTCGACAAGGTGGTGCAATCGTATACGGCATTCTATATTGAAGACGTTCCATATCTAGGAAAGCATTTCTCAAATCGCTTCTAATCACGTCTTCATAAGACGGTGGTGGTTCCATTATTCACTTTACCAAACGGCAATATTCCCTGAAATCGTGGTGTGCCAAATTCCGATCAAATTTGACGGCGCCGATCATAAGATCAAAGTAAATTTTCATTAACCAACCGAATTCTTCAGTTCAATTAATAGTTATATCAGCAAATTAACGTTACCCAACGTATTCTTCAGCTGAATTATTTTTGACATATCCAGAATCTAACAATTTTAGAATGTAGCTGAATTCCGTTTAACGCAGGCTCCTTCCTCACTTTCTTTCATCATTTTGAAAAATCAGATAAATTTCAGCCGTGATACGCGTAAACAACGTGTGATTGATGCTCTTGCACTGAGATTCACCTAATTCATGAACGTTCAATTTGATGTATCGTTGTTATTCGACGTGATATTATTTTGTTGTCGTGTGATAGATTTTGCTGATGTACTTGTGAACTCAGAAAAACACACAGTTCGCTGACGAGTTTCGGACGATTTTAAACGATCGATCCAAATTTATTCATGAAAATCGCACAATCGCACACACACACACACAAACTTCGAAAAAACC